CTGCGCCCACAAACGGGCAATATATAAAAGGTGAAGAATTCACATTTTAAAATATATACGTTTTTGCTTTCCACAGGCACAAGCACGCATTTAAGCAGCGAGACTTCTAGATCAGTGTTTCTCAACCTTGGCGACTTTAAGTCCACAGGACTTAAAGTCGCCAAGGTTGAGAAACACTGTTCTAGATAATGGCTTTGATATCTTAAGAAAGAAAAGCAAACACTCTCCTTTTTATTTTATCTTGTTTTTTTGCTTAACATGTCATCCAGATCGTGGTGGCTTATTTCAAATGGTTCTAAAAACCGTTGATTTGCAGCTAGAGGTGAACTCAGCCGGTGATTTACTCGCCCTTCCTTGAATGGCATGTCGGAAGACCTTAAGGCAGAACATCTGCAGGAGGGCCTGATCTCCCCATGGAGGAGAATTGGCAGGAAGAGTCGGGGGCTCCCAGTTAGGTTGACCTTAGAAGGGACGGAGGTGAGGCCAGAGGTGCCACCGGAAGAGAGAGAGGCGGCTAAGGGCAGCTCCATTTCCTCCCGTTCTTCTCCAGTGCAAATGGGTTTAGGTGGATTTCCGTGATGAAAAATCCACGTCCATTTTAACTAATAGAAAAAGGGTTGCTCCGATTTACAGTCTCAACTGACGCGCAACAGGTTGTTTGTAACACCCGCTTTGTACTCAGTTAAATGCTTTCCCTCTTGGAGAACCATCAAGTCAGTTGTTTTTTATGCTGTGATGTTTTTCCTTATGTGGCTCCGTATCATTTGAGTCCTTCTGTTGTACAGGCTGTTATAGTATCCTACAGCTTCATGTGTGCATGGACCTGATCAAGTATATAAAGAAAGCCTTTTGGGGGGAACAAGGTTAATTTTGAGGGAGCAAGTACGCAGGGCCTCCCCCTTCTTCTTCCCATCTCTCCCCCCCCCCCCAATCCTGATCAGGGCTGCTGGGAAAAGTCTTTGCAAGGAAGGTTGTAGCATGTGACTAACGGGGGGACGGTCCCCTTCAGGATCCCCCCTCTGCAATCTAATCAGACACGAGCAGGAGATTATTTCCCTTGCTAAGCAGGTGGTTTCCTTACTTTGGCTCCATAGAAGTTGGAAGAACAGGACCGGAAAGCTCTGAACATCAAGGAACAACTGCAGCGAGAACATCGGTACCTGAAGCGCAGGTTGGAGCAGCTCTCCGTGCAGGGCCTGGAGCGAGTCCGCACGGACAGCCTCGGATCAACGATATCGACCGATTCGGAGCAAGGTAGGCGGTTCGAGTTCTGAAGTAGCCCCCACCCTTGAAATTGCACAGGCAGGGACAGAGCGTGCAGTAGCGAGGTTTAAGGCCACTCAAAGCTATCCAACTTCCTTTTGAGAAAGAAAATTTCATTAACAATCTGTGATGGGCTGGAAAACAATTTAATAAGCAGTTGGAGAGAAAAGTGGTTGCTGCAGAGAAGAATGAAGCGTTAACGTCAGAGGGACAAAAGCATCAGGATTCAGCCTTTTTCTTTTTTTGCAAAACAAATTACAGCTCAGGCTGTAAACACCATCTTGTTCCAATCCAATCTGAAATAATCCGGCAGCAATTAGAATGTTAATGTTGGACGATATCCCAGGACCTACTGAGGTGATTGTTGCATTGTTACTATTATTCCTCAGAATGAATACTGGACTTTATTCTTAGCTATTAAAAGCAATAATTTAGTTTGAGAATTTGAAGTTACCTTTTAAATGTATTTATTGCAAGTGGACGCCTTTTTGTACAAACCTGTGAGAAATGGTGTAGGGTCTCCTGCTTGGGCAGGGGGTTGGACTAGATGACCTACAAGGTCCTTTCCAACTCTGTTAATCTGTAACATATTCTGTACTTCCAAGAATTCCCCAGCCGGCCATTGCAGCCTAGGAAATTCTGGGGGTTGAAGTTTTAGAGTTGCTGCCACACAGCTTGTCCTAATCTGTATATTGGTGGAATGAACAGATTCTACCAAAAATGCCCTCACTGTTGCAGACTTCCCAGCAGAATAGATTCAAGATACACGTGGCCCATAAGCACCCTCCAGATTCCCACCTTCTTCTGCATTAATTTGAACATTCGAAGCAAGCAATACATTTTTTTAAAGAAAATATAGGAAGGACTGAAAGATAAACTAGAATTGGCCACATTTTCAGTCCCCTTGCTAAAACACAAGAGTGTTCACAAACCACCGGGGTGGGGTGGGGGTGTTCTGTGAGTCAGAGATGCTCTTTCTCACCCAGTGGTGACATTTTCCTCTCGGTGGATTAGCCCAATCAAATCTAAGACCAACTGGTGCCTAAATGCATGAATGCCTTTGGGGGTTTTCTCCTAGTACAGTTGGATACTTGGATATTTCAATTACACTGGTATGTGATGTGCCCCCAGTCTCATTATTTTCTTATTGACCTATCTGAAATGGCATAGGGTGCCCTGCTTGAGCAGGGGGTGGACTAGACGACCTCCAAGATCCCTTCCAGCTCTGTTCTGATTGGTTTGGGATTTTTTTAACTGCAACTCCTCATTGGTTGCGGATTTTTAAGGTCGCAAAAGGTGTTAATTGCAGGTTGATCAGGAAGAATTAAGAAGTCCCTTACAAGGACATCAGAGATAGTCCCAACCAATTGCACATCCCTCCCAATGCCCAGGGTATTTCTCCTGGACGTTTTGTGGGGGTCAGATCAGCGGCTGGAGCAGCCTTGTGTCCCACGCGGTGTCTTTTTTCTCCTAGAAGTCCTGGAAGGAGTTAGCGGTAGCCGGGTCGAATCAAAGTGTAATGGAAACAAAAGAGAAATAAATAGGAGTCTTGATAAAATAACTTTGAGATCCTTTATTTTAGTTTATGGTCACTCTGCATTAATAGCCTTCGGTGGCTCCAATATGCAAAATGGCTGGACAGAATAGACTATAATAAACAATAAAAATTCCAATAAATAATATTTATATCAGAACTACAATATTTTTAAAAACCATTCATTCATTCCACATTTTTGAACTGCCCCCAGCTAATAGCTAATGGTGCATGATCGCATTGTTCCGTAATTCTTTTAGTTCATTTGGTAACCCTGAAATCGGTGGAGTGCATCTAAGAGGTTGCTTGCAACTGTCAAAAACGTACAGTCGGAAGCGGCCAGGAGAATAATTCTGGAAGACTTTCAAGTTTTCACATCAGTTGCGTCTCCTTGTAGAGGTTTTGCAGAAAGTATTGGCAGAATGCTGGCCTCTGCCGCCACCCCTCCTCCTCCTCCTCCTCCTCCT